ATTCCACGAAGGCAGCCATTGCTTTTAGGCTGATAGTTTCGAAAGAAACTGTTTGGGGCTGCGTCGGTGGGAGTAACGAAATAATTTGGATATATCAACAAAGTTGAAATGGTAAATTGGCTACCGTAACGATTACAAAAGCTGACGTTTCGAGCGTTAGCCCTTCGTCGTCGCTCCGACGAAGGGCTAACAAGTTACATCTACATGTTATTTATTTGAAAACTGTTCGATCACACGTTTTTAATTTATCTCGTTAAGTTCCGAATTAGGTTTGACCTCACTGGCAATCACTGATAAGAAGTCCACCTCATATATAATGTACAATAGGTTTCGGTATCTTTTGCCAACGGGACGCCTCTGCTGTCTTCTTTCCATTACTTTTCTTCAGCGGTCTCAGTATGACGTCACAGCCCTCCTTCGCCTTGCCTTTGACGCACGCTACATATTTTTTAATGTGATCTGATAAGTAGGCCAGCGGAGAGGAACCTTGGGCGAGAACCTGAGAAAAAAGTTTACGTATGTCTGGCTACAATTTTTCACAGGTATTATCGCCATTTTTGTTACACATAACTTTTCCTGATTTCCTTTTTTTTCCATTTGACGCATAGGTAGTCCAAGATGGAGCTTAGTCCTTGTATCACACCTTGCTCAATTGCGATTGGCTATTTCAATGAAGCAACAAGGATGTCTCTACATGGTAAACTCCGCAGGAAATCCCCACCTATCTAGCGTTTACATCAGCTTATTTTCTAACCTATGATTTCTAAGCTACAGAAAATCATGAACTTGTTTCCGTATAGCAAACCAACGTGTGATAATCGGATGCGTATATTATTTTATTATCGTCACACAGCAACATCAAGTTTTCCCGCCTTTATTTGGTATGAAGCTAATTTTTTTGTGGCTGTGATCCCTTAGAGGGAATGTATAAGAGGTACTAACCTGGTAATGGAAATCAGGCAGATTGAATTTATCACCCAAATTATCTTTGGAATACTTTCTGGCTTTTTCAATCTCCAATTGACCAATCATATACGCAGTCGCTTGTCCTGGGTTGCTCTGGTACCGAGTAACCTGTTGAAGTCACCAACAGAGCGATTAACACAAAGTAAGAGATCATAAAGAACAGATAAGTTGATAAAATGCGTTGAATTATGACGACAAGTCCAATAGAAATATGTTTGGAGACCAGTCTTGTGGATATTAAAGAGTAGCCAACCGATACTGAACATTGATGAAACAGTAAAGCAAGTCTTTACTAAGAGCAGAATGGTCCGCACCGACCGTGCGTATCTCAATATCCGTGGTATGAAGTGACTCTGAGAATTCGCGCTCCCTCTGGCTTAGCAGTTGTTCCGTAGCAGTGTTGGTCCCCTCCTCTCCCGTGTTGTTGTCAGATATCTCTGACTGTTAATTGTCTAGAGCTATTTTATACTGATTGCTGATTCCAAAAAGGTGCGATGATAGTTAAATGTATATCTTGTCCTGAAACGCGACCCAAGGACCTGCAAGGGCCCGAGAATTAAAAGCTTTCGCCAGCTATTGTCTCCTTCCTTCCATTTTTTTTACCTCTTTTTGAGCAAGGTCTGTATCGTCCCACGCATATTTACTAAAGTATTCCAATGCCTTGTTCCTTGAAAATCCCACGTAATGCAAACCTGTGTCTACGATCAGCCGTATTGCTCGCCAAACCTACAAGTTACAAGAAAGTGTAATCATTCATTAAAAGCGTCTGAACTCGGTTGTGACGGTTGGTGATGCCGTTAAGCGGCGAAAGCTCGAACTTCTACTACATCTTACAATGAGATACAATGAATAAATGAAGTTCATACATTTTGAACTGCGGTATTAGATACGTATGATGCACGATCCTCGCAGTAGATAGCGCTATTTATGCAATAGCGAAAATCAGACCTGAAAAAAATCAGGCCTGTACGGGACTCGAACCACTGACCTCTGCGATACTAGTGCAGCGCTCTACCAATTGAGCTAACAAGCCAACTGGGAGCAGGCCGTTAAGTTGATTCGTAATAAACCCGTGAAAGTGATAAATGAGATACAATGAATATATGAAGTTCATATATTTTGAACTGCGGTATTAGATACGTATGATGCACGATCCTCGCAGTAGATAGCGCTATTTATGCAATAGCGAAAATCAGACCTGAAAAAAATCAGGCCTGTACGGGACTCGAACCACTGACCTCTGCGATACTAGTGCAGCGCTCTACCAATTGAGCTAACAAGCCAACTGGGAGCAGGCCGTTAAGTTGATTCGTAATAAACCCGTGAAAGTGATAAATGAGATACAATGAATATATGAAGTTCATATATTTTGAACTGCGGTATTAGATACGTATGATGCACGATCCTCGCAGTAGATAGCGCTATTTATGCAATAGCGAAAATCAGACCTGAAAAAAATCAGGCCTGTACGGGACTCGAACCACTGACCTCTGCGATACTAGTGCAGCGCTCTACCAATTGAGCTAACAAGCCAACTGGGAGCAGGCCGTTAAGTTGATTCGTAATAAACCCGTGAAAGTGATAAATGAGATACAATGAATATATGAAGTTCATATATTTTGAACTGCGGTTATAGATACGTATGATGCACGATCCTCGCAGTTGGCTTGTTAGCTCAATTGGTAGAGCGCTGCACTAGTATCGCAGAGGTCAGTGGTTCGAGTCCCGTACAGGCCTGATTTTTTTCAGGTCTGATTTTCGCTATTGCATAAATAGCGCTATCTACTGCGAGGATCGTGCATCATACACATCTTACAATATTTTACAGTAATTCAAGGCCGCATTATTGTTCTTATTGTTTTACAAAATGTTACTGAAGGACAACATTCAAAAATTTGACTTATTTTTCTGACGACGAAGAGTCGGAATGGCTGATAACTATGGATCCAAGTTTCTTAGATAAATCGAACAAAGAAAAGCAGTTCGACGACAATGAAATTTTATCACTTCTTGAAGAAAATAGAAACAGCAACACAACAAAGAATTCCGTTCCGCTTCGCATCTTTCTGTCACGCACTCTCCGTAAATAAGTATCCGTGAAATTCAGCCCGCACTGAAATAACAATTTGGCATGTTCCATAATAAATCTCTTATTAAACGTTTTGTTTTGTAGTATCGCGAGTATTTTTACTTGTTGTTTGTATTTTGAATCGCCCTACGGTAATTAATCCCTACCTGCCACTTCAGCATTCCAAACTTCTGCATAGGTTCGGTTTTATAAGCGTCTGTATCTTGTGCTATAAGCGGGTTTTCAGCGTACAACGCCCATCCCTCTGTAAACGCTGTGTAGTACGTGACACTATCAAGCCAACCAATAACACCACCGCAAATGTCACGGAAGTGTTCTGCGTTACCCTGAACCTGTGGATGAAGCCTAAGTTGTTATATCGAGTTAAGTAGACAGTTATCGACTCACAAAGCAATTAAAAAAAACTAAATAACGTATTTTCAATATACCAAAAGCTAGTAAAGGTGTAAACCTGTGTATGATGTCCTGGCCTCGCTTCATGAGCGTTAACGCTCCATTCAGAAAACCTGGGACCCAGATTTTCCAAAAAAAATGGAAGTCTGTATATGGCGCTTTTTGTGCAGTTTGGACCCGCACTACGATAGCTTTGAGCTCCACTGGAAGGATTCAGATTGGGCTGCATGTCAACCGGGCAGCTCGGTGTAGTAGCATAATCTCCAGTGTAGTGGAAGAGAGGAATAGTCTTTGGGGCGAGCAAACTCATCACCTACACCGACATAATCGGAAGCAGTTTGCTGTTCAGTAGTTCTAACTGAATTCACCTCAGGAAACAGATCAAAACGATTTTCTTAGAAACGAAATTCTGTTTTTGCTGTAAAGAGATGACCGTTGGTAAATATAAATCCTCTCACAAGAAACAGATCCTGCAACTTGGACATTGTCACTCAGATCACCGTTACGTTTGACCGAGGGCAAGTTTAAAATCAAACCACTCCAACAATTGTATTCTGTGTTCCCATGCACTCTGTGCGGGTGACTCTACTGCTTTATTGACTTTCGTGCTTTTTTCTCTTTTAGGATATATCAAGACATGGATGTTTTTGGCTGAAAAATATCCTCTAAGAAGAATTTCTGAAGAAAACGACGCAAGCCTGTTTTGAGGGGAAGTCGGTTTGACGGGAATGTCACGGTAGATCATAATACTCGCCGGTCCATGGAAAAGCATCTCTCCTACAGGATTCATAAAAGGTCTAAATTCACACTTTCAAAAAAAAGTCTTCTAGAAGGGGGAGTTCCTTATCGGGGCCAACAGAAGATAGAGTAATTTAGCAAAGTTATAAATTCTTCATAAAACGAAATACCTTTCTTGATTCAGCCATCCAGAGCTCAAGAGCAGCCCACCTCGTAGGACAATGTTTCTTAGCTCCTTCAATGTCACTGCATTTCTTGTGTGCCTCTTTGTCCGACTCGTTTTGGGGGAATGGATCCGCATTGAAATAACTATCAGATGAAGTTAGGATCTCTCTGAATTCCGATATGGCACTGTTGGTATCATTGATCCCAGTAACAAGTTTTGCAACATCGACAACCTATGAATGAGTCAAAAGAAGAAAAGAATAGGAGATTGTACCAGGAACTGTCTTCTGCAGAAATGACGAAAGGATGATGAGAAAAAGGCAGAAAGAAAGTATGGATGTTTTGTTTCCCCTGCTTTGATTTAAAAAAACATTATTTGTGGGACACAAGACGAGATATAATGAAAGAAATGATATCAATAACAGTCGTGCCTTGCTTTAAATCACAAAATGCCAAAAACTGGAAATAACCTTACCATGGGATAGAGAATATCAAGTTGCTTTTTACCAAGCTCGTGAACGTCCATTGCTGTCATGTTATTTGTTGTGAAATAGGACATGATATTGGAATACGCCAACGATCCATTCAGCGGTTCACCAGTGGGCAGATATGGGTCTGTGGGCTGGAGCGTGTTCTCTTTGCCATCGAACCAAATATACTTGAGTGGAAGACCAGCTAATCCACTAGACACGTTACTTGGAACACAATGACGAATGTGTTCTTCCTCGACGTATCTAAATTTTAATCATTATGATTGCTTTACATTTGTGTTTCTTATGTGATCCTGATTATTAGGCGACTAAACAAATGGCTAGCGATATCATAGGTTTTGCGGGTAAAGGGAGTTATATCAGTCGATATCATTAGAAATGACTTTTGAAGAGTAGGCATAAAAAATGTCAAATTATGTATGATAATTTAAAATTAAATTCTGGGATCAAAAAGGTTCATGAATTAAATAAAAGACATCTCAAGATCGCTCGGTTGGGATATATTATTTCGTGAATCCTACCCTGCTTTGTCATAATGGAAGGTGTTAGAGAAGGCGACTAAAGTTTTAAGATCCAACCATAGTCCCACTTGCAGCAAATGCAATACGATTCGTTCCTACCGGCTAAAAGATCACATAATCACGCCATAATCAACTATTTTAGTGCTATTTGAACGTTATTTCAGTTTTCTTTGATGACTGTTAAGGACCCGTCCAAAAAGCTCTCACTCGAAAACCATATTTAGAAGTAAGGCCTCTAGTCTCTAGCTGTGGCGGGTAACGGAAGTTAAACAGCGCATATCAGCCCAACGATGAGTTCCTCAGATAATCTCTGAATGCAAAAGTAGGAGAAGAGGATATATATTGAAATTGATATTTACCGAGCGGCGAGGTCATCAAAGTATCATTTTCACCGACATTGAGGTGAATAACTGTTTTAATATGTACCATAAAGAAAAAAAAACTTTATCTACGGCAATATACCGAAAAATGGTCGGAATTTAAACTCTCGATGTGAGGTTTTGTCTTCTCGGCTAAATAATACTTGCTTATCACTTCCGAACTAGCCAATCAGCGCGCTCTGAGAGCATTATTCCCCCTTTGTGGGGTATGCTAAAGTAAAGTAACGAATAATTTCTGATCCTTCACGCCCAAATAAAGAAGTCAGTTGCTCAGGCCATCAAAATTCAGCCGGAAAATTTTCCGATTAACGGTGCCTAATGAACATGATGAACATCCCGTGCCACAAGTTGTGAAAATTTGATCTCAGCCAAAGAACACAAGTACAATGGTTGGGTACGAACAGCTTTAGCAAAAAAAAACATATTCGTGAAGGTTTTTTTTAAAAAAGGAAGTCATTTCAACAAAATTTTACCTCTGACTTCATAAAGATAAACCCCATATTGCGATCTTTAAGTATGATTTTTATACTGTACCTTAACATTTGTTCAAGTGGTTCCCCTAAATAAGTCACCAGATATTCTTTGATAGTTTCTTTGACATTCTTTCCATCGTGCGCCGCCTTCCATTTCTTATCAGTCTTTTCTGTGATGTTACTGTAATAATCAGGATCCATCAGGGGTCGGACGAACCACGCTTTTAGCACACCTGTATAATGAAAGTACTGCAGATGATCAGTGTCATTTTAAGCCCACAACATTCAAGGAAAAACAAAACATTATTGCTCTAAAAGTTCATTTTCTTTGTGGTTGGGAGTATAGGGACGAGCCGCCTCAGAGCTCAGCCATATACTAAGTTTACTAAATTCCTGAGATAATCGGCTCATCTGAAAGAGCTCGAAAATTCTACACTAGATATATGGAGGTTCAGCATCTAAATTAATATTACAGCCACTTCAAAGTTCAAATTTAAATATTCACCGAAGCCTTAAAGTCTTCTTCGCAGGGACCTACACTTTTCATGGACCATAAAACGTTGTTGGTCGATCATGATCTCTAACAATATGTCAAAAGTATGTTTTCCTGTTTATTCATCCATTTATCTATTTATTTCTTTAAGGCGGTATCTTTGTTTAAAGGATTGTCACGCGACTTGAAACCTAGAAGCCAATACGTATTGTTGAAATATTGGATCTCAAATGCAATCCATTCCTGACAATCTTGGAAACAGTTTTAGAGTGTTTATATTTGAAGCGCACGCAAAATTTTAAATATACACGGACCTTGAAAACAACTTGTATATCACTTCGATGAGCATTCCATGAAACTTTGTGTGCCAGTTGTTCAGCCGAATCAGTATAACAAACGGTCGTGGCGGTGAAGTCTGTTAAATTCTGACCCTTGAACAAACCTTCAGCAGTTCTGAATTCAAGATTGCATTACAGACGGTCTAGCTCATGTCCTTAGGACGGTTTAACATAGATATGGGTAATCAATTGTTACATAACATTCACTTTATTTACCTGTTGCGTTGTATAGGGAAACATTCAAATACCGTCTTTTGATTGTATTAATTCCAGCTACGCACTCCTCTACGCTTCTAACCATTCCTTTGCGAACTCCCATCTTCATATTGGCGACGTATTGCAAAATGCCAGCTTTGTGAGTTTTCAGTTTCTTTTCGATCAGCTCCACGTCAGCTACACTGTAAGGCTTGTGGTACAGACCCAGGCCATTATGAACTGCATATCCATGATAGCAGATTTCCTGCCAGCAAAACGAATTCGGTCCCATCATCCAGTCTCCATTGTAGTAATTCGCATCAAATGGCTGACCGAATATATGCTGTAGATAATGCTTCACTTGAGCAAGTGCCTTCCTCTCGCGGGGTTTCAACGTGTTCTCGTTGATCTTTTTATCGTTGATTTCTTTAAGCAAAGCCAAGGCAGTATCCGTCCGCTTTTTGATCACAGATGGCGTTGGATCGTAAGCAAAGTACTCTGCTTTGATTTTCTCTGTTGTTACGTCTGGTTCTAGGTGTACATCATAAGGATGAAGTTTATGATACGTTGCCTTCACACGATTAAGAAACTCACCCAGGCCAACTCGTTTAGCTTCCCTTGAAAACTCGCATCTGTTTTGATCTCGCTGCCCTGTGTCTTTCTTATCATTGCTCATTGCAAGCACAATGAGCACAATCCCTGCGAGAAGAAAGATTAAACCGACAGCCAAGATGACGATTGACACAATTCTAGCTATAGAAATATTACTTGTGGAAGATTTGACATCTTTTTCGTCGGAAAACACCGTTTCTGAGCTTTTATTCATCTCCATGATTCTTATCTTTGTACAGAATCTCCCAACTGAACCTGTCTCGTAGTAAGTTATGAAGAGAGTTTACGCTGAATGATACATGAACTTAATTAATGACTATTAATCATCTATAAAACGGCCGTAATTGGCTGTTGCCCTTCGATTTAATTAGCCACTCCCTTAGAGACCAGGAATGGAAGTGAGATTCACAAATAGTATCACACCATACGTGCAGTAATTAGATCAATATTTCAGGGTAACTTTCGAATTAAGTAGGAGCCTTAATGGTCATTCAAAAAAGGTACACACTTCAAATTCTAAAGATCATGTGGCTAAGAGTTAAAATTCAGGGATGCAGAGCAAAATATCGGCTACCATTCTTCTTTTATCAAAGATACTCGATCGCTTTTACAAAGTACAGCGTATCGAATGCTAGCTGCCATGGAAATGAAATCGTACTGTCTGATAATGTTGACTCTGGGAAAAATTGTCTGATGAGAATTACATACTGTAAATTGGCCGGTGGACATGAAATATGATAATAACAACAAGCGCAGAGACGTTTGGTGCCAAAGGATGTCATAATCTTCAAAGAAAAAACAAAACAAAACAAAATAGGAACAAAACAAAGCAAAAACAAATCACAAAAACAACTCGAACTCAGATCGCCTTTATCCGAAGTTCACCCCTATGACCCAACGAGTGAATCGTACCGGCTGTTAAACTTTAATATTGACTTTAGAACCTAACTGATGAAATACCGCTATCTTGCAAAGTGTTGTCAAGAACTGCTTACATTCGGCACGAAAAGTGCTCGGATATTTGTTCAACCACGTGCAAAAGGAGGGAATAGACACGCTATATTTGCGAGCGAAATAGAGACTACTGTGTGTTTTTGTTTTGTTGTTTTAGCAGCTTGTAGAGGTAGAACCCTCTAGAGAGCTTAACCTCCTGAATGTCTGCTGCAAAAGATGATATTTGTGCAGTTGTCTATATCAAGGTTCCCTAAATGAAATGGCATCGTCTGTGATGTTACAGTAAAAGAGAGGATTCAGCTGGTGTGTGAGGTTCCACTTTTTGTCACTATGCCATGACATAGGTGGCAAGGTATCGTGCGAACAGAACTTTAAAATCCTTAACAATAAAATTGCAATGGCTTGTGATTAATATTTGTAAAAATTTGGTAATGCCTGAAAAGTGGAGAGTATCAATCTCTTCCTCATTGGCCGCTCTAACTGCAATCAGACGACTCTCCCAGTAATTATGATGATGCATACAATTTATACTAAAAATAAAGCCTTGCTAAGGCCTTGTAAGCCGCGTATTCTATACACTAAATTTATGCGCATAAAGATTCCATAAAAAATAATTATTGATACTAATAGTATACCAAAAGTAAAAACTTACAGATGATAATAGCAATTGATTATCCCTTTGGAATTACTCCCTGCAGACTTTCCGGGTCTACAATATCCTTTCCGGAACTTAAAAATAATTCCAGGAAGTAAGTACCTTCCAGACTGGGTGAGAAATTTATGCCAAAGTATTTTGAGACCTCTAGCTCTATGCATGTACCTAAGAGCCCTTTGCCCTCGCTCACTGTGATCAGGTTTGACGAGGCTAAAAGAACGAAATTAAAACCACCATATTACGATCTAGCCCGTGTTACTTTATCACTGTAAACCTAGTATCATACAGACAGTGTCGGAATAAATTCAATCTTCCTTATGCAATACGATTTCTAGCATTATCAACATTGCTTTCTTTCTTTTGAAGGTTACGGTTCTCTTTTTGCTAAACCGTTGGTCTTGAACACTGAAAGTCAATTCTGCGTCTGAAGTGAGGTTCTGTGTGGGAGAACAATTTGGCAAAAGTGGATTTCTCGTCTATTTGCGCCTTAAATCGCAAAAACTATTCTTACTGATGACATAACAAGGGGGATGAAGCTGCAATAGTTGGTACTCATAATACCAAAGACAAATTAATTATTCTAAATTATAAAAATTCCTTGTCCTCTAACTATTTTGAAGTGGAGATGATTCATTTAGTTCGTACTAATGAGTTAGCGAATACGATAAAATTAAATCCTAATCAAGACCATGCTAATAAACTTTTATTTTGCAAGTTCACAAAATGTATCTCAACAAATAGGCAGATGCTTTTCAAAACTTCATCGCCTAAAACTCGCGTCTTAAATTTACACAAAAAAGGGTAACGATGGTTAATAATGCTACAGGATACGACTCACACTGCAAATAGTTGCAATTGAGGACTCGAGCCGTGTTAAATGTGTCTAGGTTGAAATTCATTCTTCATCTATTAACGTCGGTCCACTACACTAAACGCAAATTTGTTCATGGTCATTCAAACTAAATCAACGCAGTCGGTCATTTAAACATTTTAGTAATGCAAAGCTTGGACTGAGGTACGTGGCTCTTCTAAATTACGAAAGCATCCCTCTGCCATTCTATGGTTCACCCTCATGTATCAAAAATGGTGCACAATGGGTTTCGGTATCTTTTCCCAGCGGCCTACTTTTACTCCTTCCTTTGCCTCCGCTTTCTTTGGTGGTTTCAGGATAACATCACAACCTGCTCTCGCTGTGTTCTTGACGCACGCCACATATTTTTTCACATGATCTGATAGGTACGCAAGCGGAGAGGATCCCTGAGCAAGAACCTAGAGAAAAACCTTCAAAATCAGTACAGCATCACCAACTGGCTGTAGCAACATTTTGGTAATTTTCCGCCAATGAAACATGGAAGATGTTGTTGCCAATAATCTAATGCTCTGAATTAAGACTCTTTCATGAGAAACTTCTCACTCTTACTTTCTTCTTTGTGCTCTAACCATCAATGAACGTTTCAAGGGCGATACTAATTTCATCGAGAGCCTCTTTAAAGCAAGTGTTAGACCAGCTTACATAAGTAGATTTACCTGATAATGGAAGTCTCGCAAACTGAAATCGTCTCCCAATTCAGTTTTGGAATAGTTTCTAGCGCTCTTGATCTGCAACTGACCAATCATGTAAGCAGTCGCTTGTCCTGGGTCACTCTGGTACCGAGTCACCTAAAAGTGATTGACAGAAAGCGGACAACATGGTCAATGAACATTAGTTATCACGGCAGAATAAGTGAGAATGATGGGTCTTTGATCATAAAGACTTAAGTCAACACAGTTTTGTTGCAAATCATATGTTTAACATAAATGAATTGCTAAAAATCATTACTGGCTTTTGGCATTGGCGACCTGTCACATATTTCTTCGCTTCTTCAGCGTTTTACCATCTTATTTTTTTTTTCAACTTCTCAAGCACTATTGCCACGTACGGCATGGCAGTCTGAAGGAAAAAAGACTTAAGCGCTCTCCTGGCGTTAATGAATCAACGTCCACCTTCAATTTTTACCTCTTTCTTTGCAAGGTCTGTATCGTCCCAAGCATATTTACTAAAGTATTCCAGAGCCTTGTCCCGCGAGAATCCAACGTAATGCAAACCAGTGTCGACAATCAAACGAAGAGCTCGCCATACCTTAGGGTAAAATTAAAAGTACAAAAGTTAAAACTCAACTTCTCAATTCGGTGTATGTCCCTTAAGCATAGCTTTATGTAAAAATGTGGTGACGCCAAAGTATGACGTATACGCACACTCTATAATGACCAAACCTTATCAGGCAGATTAGATACTACTTTCTTCGTGATACAGGAGACCACATCGTGTCGAATCTTACCTGCCACTTCAGCATTCCAAACTTCTGCAGAGGTTCGGTCTTATAAGTGTCTGTATCCTCAGCTATCAGTGGGTTTTCAGCGTACAACGCCCATCCCTCTGTAAACGCTGTGTAGTACGTGACACTATCAAGCCAACCAATAACACCACCGCAAATGTCACGAAAGTGTTCCGCGTTACCCTGAACCTGAGAAACAAGAATAAGACGTTATGTATAGCCAAGAATTAATTCATCGAATCAATGAGTGATAAAAAGTTGACTAAAATATATCAAATCGGAATAAAGAGTATAAGTTTCTATAGAAACTGTGGTGCTGTGTCGGTGGGGGAGTACAACAAGATAAACTTGGTTTTATCAACTGAGTTGATAATGTAATCAAGGTCACCGTAAAAGTTTACAAGCTTAAGTTTCGAGCGTTAACCGTCAATGATTCGCTCTGACGAAGGACTAACTTGTGTATGATGTCCTGGCCTCGCCTCGTGGGCGTTCACGCTCCATTCAGAGAACCTGGGACCCAAGTTTTCCAAGAAAAATGGAAGGTTGTATTTGGCACTTCTTGTGCAGGCTGGACCCGCACTTTGATAGCTTTGGGCCCCACTGGAAGGATTCAGATTGGGCCGCATATCAACCGGGCAGATGGGTGTAGTCGCATAATCCCCAGTAAAGTGGAACAAGGGAATCGTTTTTGGTGACAGCAAACTCATCACCTACATCGGTAAAACAAAAAGGAAAAATTTTTGATACTTCTACCTGAACTTCCCTAGGAAAACGCAGAACAATCTACAAACAAAAAAATTATTTTGAAATCTTGGCTTTTTGCTCAAAACGTGCATGGGGTGGGGGGAGGATCCTACAATGACAGTTTGACCGAGGAAAAGTGTGGTTTTATATCGGCGTGACGATTTTGCTGATTATTACTTAGAAGCACTTGAGAATTATTATTTTTAGAGGGGATAGAGGAGACGACCCCCCGGAATATCACCACACTGTCTTCCCTCTGAAACATTTTGAAGACTGATGGAAACCTTGTTGTGTGCAAAACCATAGAAATGGACTCTATACGACAAACGCCCCGCTGTGGACAGGGTAAGTGAAGAAAAAGGGATTTTCAATTAAAATTACTTGAAATAATTGTCGCTCATTATTGACGTGGGAGTTTCCTAACTTCCCAGACCTTGCAGAAGGACTTAACTATGTCACATAACAAATTGGATGAGCCTACCTTCCTAGATTCGGCCATCCACAACTCTAGGGCAGCCCATCGCTTGGGGCAATATTTCTTAGCTCCTTCAATATCACCGCATTTCTTGTGTGCCTCTTTATCAGACTCATTTTTAGGGATTGGTTCCGGATTGAAATAACTCTCGGATGAGTTTAGTTTCTTTTTAAACTCCGCTACTGCTGTGTCATTATCGTCATTTCTGGTAACACGTTTTGCAACATCGACAATCTGTAAATGATTTAGCTTTAGATAAGGCAACCTGCAAATGTTTTATTATAGGTAGGTTTATCGAATTGTTTTTGATGCGGGCTGAGCCTGTTGCTTTTCCAACTCGATTAAATGCAGCCCAAAAGAACCTGGAGTAAGAAAGAGATGGGGATATTCCGTTCGAAAGTGGCACCTTTTTTAGTCGACAGATGGGCAATAAAAGGATTGCAGTTGAACGAACAGAGGGGCAGGAAAAGGTAGAGTTAACCGTCTTAACGTGTCTTCTAGCTTTAGATCAATTGAAATAAGTCTTAAAGCTACGAAAACAATGAAGTAGAGTAGATCGTAGCTAAAGCGTTTCTTTTGCTTTTCCGTTCTATTACAGCATTTGCAAGGATCGAGAAGGGCCATGATGTATTCTAAGGCAACCATCAATAGCGACGTTTGAAAAGGTAAGCCAGAATCATCGGCTGCTCTGACCAACTTACAGTCAATAACTTTAAAGTGATCTCAGCGAAATACGACGACTGACCACTCAAGTTTTCCGTGTAAACACATTCTAACTCTCCCACTAGTCAGCAGGTTGCGGCAAAGAGCGACATGATGTATTTATCTCTATTAAACTAAACCTAACGGCTTTCAATTTTCTGAAACACAGAAATTTACCTTACCATAGGATAGAGAATGGCGAGCTGCTTTTTGCCAAGCTCATGAACATCCATTGGAGTCATGTCGTTTGTTGTGAAATATGACATGATTTTGGAATAGGCAAACGATCCATTCAGCTTTTCACCACTCGGTAGGAATGGGTCAGTGGGCTGGGACTTGTTCTCTTTGCCATCAAGCCAAACATACTTGAGCGGAAGACCAGCTAGACCGCTAGATACGTTGCTTGGAACGCAATGACGAATGTGTTCATATTCAATGTATCTGAAAGTTGACTTCATAATTGAACATTATTTCATTGAATTTAAAGGGCAAGAGAAAATTTAAACAAAATTACTAGGAAAACATTATCAGCAACAAACAGAAAATTTAACATATACTTCAAACCATCGCCCTTTTGTCATGCGTTTTACCCTTTTGGTTTACTCAGATGCAGAGTATCTCTAACTATTTGGATCTTTCAAGCAAGCGAGTTCCTAACAAATGATAAACGTTTATTCCTTCTTGAAAGAACGTATACTGATGGCTGAATAAAATATGGTTATTTGCAGGGACAAAACATCAAGTGAAGGGAAGGACTCTTGTCTTTAAAGATATTTAATAAGAACTTGACTAACAAACACCCGCGTTGTACAAACCTATTAAAAATTTTTTTAATTCCTAATTTTTAAGTCTTTTCAATCTTATCCCCCCTAAGCCAGCTTTGTATCTCCTTGGTTTAATAATCACCTCTCCGTGTTTTTCTTTCTTACTAAGTAAATATTTGGTAGCTTTGCAAGTAAGAAACCTGCGTTGCTTAAACGGGTGCGAGTTGAGCAAACCGACACACATGCCGACGCTCAGGTAACCATGCAAGTTGCAAAAATGAAACATAGTACCCCAAATCAAAGTGAGTTTGCTCTCATACCTTAACATCTGTTCAAGTGGTTCTCCCACATATTCCACCAGATATTCCTTTATACTTTCGCTGACATTCTTTCCAGGATGATCCTTCTTCCACGCGGTTTCAGTCTCTTCTGTTATGTTACTGTAGAAATCAGGATCCAGAAATGGTTTCACAAACCATGCTTTAAGCACGCCTGCAATGGTTAAAAAAGTCTCTTATGGAATCGTGAGAAAACTAGGGTTCCCAAGGAAGAAGCTGGGATAATTTCTGGTGAAAGAACAATGGATGAGACATTTGTTTTCAAGATCTGGTAAAGTACGTTTTCTCCAGTCTCAATCCCATAGTCGGCTTTCGACTTCCTTTTGGCAGTTTGACGCCAGGGAAACCAAAGTGCCGAATGATTCTTACATCGAAGATCGGTAGAGAGGCTCTATCTATCTGGAGTTCGCTTGACCCTTTACAGTCAAACGAATTGAATATTTGAACATGGAACCCGCTAACCGTTTCATGAATGCAATAATGGATTGATTATTTGAATATTGAACCGATAGCCGTATTCATTTTGAAAAGGCGCGGATCATTGTTCAAATCAGAGGTCCATTTCTGATTGGATTTTGCGAACACGTGATGATGGATCGGAACTATTTCAACATGGCGTCAGACATGGGGGGAAAGGTGAGTTCGAGTGTTGTGTAGAACTTCTTGTAAATGTTGTAAATGGAATGTTATCGAAAGCTCTTTTCGCATATTTACATATTGACGAACTTGTAGAAATTCTTGTGTGTATTCATGGTCGAAAAAAAATAGTTTACAGGCTAAGCCATCGCAAGACTTTTTTTATTTCGTTAATATTTGCGATCGACTGTTTCCGCAGTGTTTTTACAGTGCAGTTTGTTCATTTTGAGGATTCCTCGTCAAATAGAACAATCTTATTGGACGTCAGAAATGGACTTCTAATTGAACAATGATCCGCGCCTTTTCAAAACGGATACGGCTATCGGTTCAATATTCAATTAATCAATTCATTATTGCATTCGTGACGGCTCGCGGGTTCAATAATCAAATAATCAATTCATTATTGCATTCTTAAAACGATTGGCGGGTTCAATATCCAAATGATCAATTCATTAATGTAATCTTGGGGGGTACGCTTCACTTAGTTTGACTGTAAGTATAAGTAGTATTATTGCTATTAAGTAATTATAACAAATGGTCACCGATCCGAGACCACGTGAGATAAATCCGATTGCAATCGCATATCAATCGAAATAACCCGCATAGTTGATGTGATAAATCGAAATTAAAATTGTTCCATTTGTCAATACCAATTAGTAATAGGTAAACAAAGCTAAGTACACAAACGTACAAAGGGCATAGGGTAAAATATAGATTGGACTGGACTATTTTTTGGACGATTTTTTGACGATCTTTTTGACGAATTTTTGGACGATTTTTTGGACGATTTTATAAAGGGGGAGGCACACTTTTAGTACTCAGAGAGGGGTGGGTGCAGTCGACAAGTACTGAGGGAGGGGTGGGGAAGAGTGTTATTACTCAGGGAGGGGTGGTAGGTGGTTGTAATTGTAAACACTACGGGTTAATGGAGCTTTTACTCGATCGTAATAATTATTTTAATCGGTTTTTCGACTTACTTCTCCTACATCAACATTTTTCGCTGGGCCGCGGCGTTTCTTTAATTTTTTAGCCATGCGAAAGCGAAACTGCCACGTAAACACTGGACTTTAACGTATTGANTGAATTTATCTATCTTCCTTTTGTCAGGGATCTTATCAGACGAGATCACAGAATTTCGCTCTACACCGAAATACCTAGTTAAACAATAGAGTGTTTCTGTCGAGGGACTATCGGCTGATAGTTGCACCGCGGAAATTTGATGTTCTTAAAACAAATATTTTTGCTAGTTTTAAGAACATCAAATTTCCAAGGGACAACTATCAGACCGATAGTTCCGAGACATAAACACTCTATTGTCTTTATTGTTCACCACTAAATTTTCTTCCGCGCGCCAGTTTAAAAACAATCCGAATGATTATTACGATCGAGTAAAAGCTCCGTTAACCAGTAGTGTTTACAATTACAACCACCTACCACCCCTCCCTGAGTAATAACACTCTTTCCCCACCCATCCCTCAGTACTTTTCGACTGCACCCACCCCTCTCTGAGTACTAAAGGTGTGCCTCCCCTCTTATAAAATGGTCCAAAAACTCGTCCAAAAAATCGTCCAAAAAATAGTCCAGTCCAGTCCAGTCCATATTTTACCCTATACCCATACAACTGAGCTTATTTTTCTTTCTCCTGACCAACTAATTGTCTTTTTGATGGTCACTTTGGTTCATATTTTAGCCGTTTGACATGAGATGACAATTGGGCGAGACTTGAATACGGTCCAGTGCAATTTTTTCCCTAAGCGCGCGCCTTATCATATCTGTTTTGAATCTATTTGAAGTTAAATTCTATTGATATTGCAATATTTTTAAGAGAATAGTGGCGACTATCTTTTTTTTAATTGCTATTTTGACATTAAAGGTCATTCAGTTACCAAAATCTATTTTATTTGAATCGTCTATCTATCGAGAGCGTCTCAAAGTATTTATCTTATAAATCAGATTTAAGATTTCCTTGTAAAAGAACGCCATACTTCTGTGTAAACTATGAAAACAAACTGTATCTGACGGGCAATACTGAGCAATTGGTTCAAACTTCCGTTTGCTCTTACTGATAAATGAAGCGCGTCGAAAGTTTTGAGAGCATGAAAGATGGATGAGAGTTGCTGAGACGAAGCTCGAGCAGTACTAGCTTCTCCAGTGCTCTCTTAACTCTCTAAGTCTTTCACAATTTGATGAAAGCATGGCTGAAATATCAACCCATCGTTTTACAACATTTTCAATGCAATAATTTGAATGTTGTATTAAGAGAAACTGCCATGTTTCAATCCTTAAAAAAGCCGTCCAGTTAGGCCGCGTAATGAAAAATGGAGCAGGCTTGCGCAACAGTATCTGATCGCGCGATTTTACACGCGTTAGGGTAATTGGCTTTTTGGTGTCTCATAGCAAGTCAAGTGCTGGCCGCCATCGGATAATTTGTTCACGAAACGAGATATTTATCCATCCTAAGATTGCTGCAGCCACAACTAGAGTCATAGGAGTCTTCTAATTTGCAAATATCTCTGGCTGATCTGAATTTTATTTGCGTGACTATAAGATGCGGTAAAAATTTCAATCCCAAAGGAAATTTGCGCGGCTTAGTCGCTTTCAGCTGATAAGAACATCAGCATAAACGGATGCCGCAAAGAAAAACAAATTCAGTTGTTGATTAATGACATCTTTCAGTCATCATTTTTTGACTTAAATATCCTTTGGCGCAAAATTGAAAAGGGGTGTTGCAGTGAAGAACAGAAACGGTCATCGTGGAGTCGTCTGTTTAGCGCTAACCCTTTATCAACACCTGCCACAAGTCTGAATTCAAGATTAAATTACGGGTGGTCTTAACTATCTTCTTGAGGCGGCGCAACATACTAATGGGTGAAACAATGCGCAACAAAACTATTCAAAAATCGATCAATTCCTATTTCCTTACCTGTTGCGTTGTATCGTGAAACATTCAAATACTGTCTTTTGATTGTGTTTATACCAGCTACGCACTCCTCTACGCTTCTAACCATTCCTTTGCGAACTCCCATCTTCATATTGGCGACGTATTGCAAAATGCCAGCTTTGTGAGTTTTCAGTTTATTTTCGATCAGCTCCACGTCGGCTACACTGTAAGGCTTGTGGTACAGACCCAGGCCATTATGAACTGCATATCCATGATAGCAGATTTCCTGCCAGCAAAACAAATTCGGACCCAACATCCAGTCTCCGGCGTAGTAATTCACGTCATAAGGCTGACCGAATATATGCTGCAGATAATGCTTCACTTGGGCCAGCGCCTTCCTTTCTCGGGGTTGTAACGCATCAGCATTGATCTTTTTATTGTTGATTTCCCTTAGCAAATTCAGGGCAGTGTCAGTTCGATTTTTAATCACAGATGGAGTAGGGTCATAGGCAACAAATTCTAGTCGGACCTTGTCTTTGGTCACATCAGGGTTCCAGTAAACGTCGTAGGGATGAAGTTTGTAGTGTGTAGCCTTCACTCGACTAAGGAACTCGCCAAGCCCCACTCGCTGCGCTTCTTCAGAGAAATCACATCGACCTGAAGGAGCTTGAGTTGTTGCTGTAAGGGGGCTCTTTGTTGTTGTTGTTGTTGTTGTTGTTGCAATGGTGGCTCCAGTTAGAGGTGCAGTGGTTTCTTCACTCTCTCCTTGCTTGCCAGTGGATGAGTTGCCTGTACGTTTCTCAGTCTCATTCTTGTCGGCTGCTGCAACTGCAATCAACACGATTCCTACGATGAATAGGATAACCCCCACAGCAAAAATCGCTAGTGAAATCATTCTCTCTTTGGAACGTCCTCCATAAAACTTTATTTCCGAATCTGGAATGACCATCTGTTCGTTGCTTTTGGAAAATTCCATGACTCGGCCACGACGCTACCGCGAGCTCTGACCACAAGAAGTTTCGAAACCTTTCTAGTTTCTGCGCCTTGTACGATGTGTCACAAGTGTTCTTCAGGTCTGGGGAACCCCCTTAGTGCGATTGCGACTTGATAGGGCTAGGGAAACTAATACTACAATAACAAATGGAGTAGCTTAATCTGTCCAAGACTCGCACATTCGGGTCAAATTACGTTTGATTGTATAAACAAAGTACTTTTCAGTCAGAGTGACAGGCTTTCTTAAAACTTTATGGAAGACTCAAGAACAGCAAGGAAAAGGTATTTTTCAGATAAGGGACTGTGAAGGTTTCGACGCACGGTGTGGAAAGGAAAGCCGAAAAAGGCGACACGCAAACCCGTGAACTAATTATTACCATACGCGCTCTCTTTCCTCTTTCTTTAGTATTTTAATTATTCACAAATCCGCAGAGCTTATCACTGTCTTCAGTTTTTGTTTGCATCACGAAAAAGAAATTGGCTCTTTAGTTTTCATTTTGACACAGTAATATTTGTGTCAGGCGATGACGATTGATGTGATTGGCTCACGTCCGGCAACGCTGTCACTTCTTTGTCTTGGGTGTCGTATTAATGCGAGAATTGTTAATGAAAGACTCCAGACAGATATTGTCAAACATTCAAGCTTGTTCCAATGAACAGCTTAGATCGTGCAAAGACTGCGCAAGATGATGCTCTGACTTAATTTCGCAGACATCAATCACCGAACAGGCTTATCGCAAAGGAGGTTTCCTTTCTAAATCAGAGACGTGTTGGGCTCTCTTCAAATGAATAGATACAAAGAACGACAAGAGGAGGTGATCTTCGTCAAAAAAACATTTGAAAGCTGCAAAGGCTATAAACACAAATTGTAAAACAAGTTTAGACTACAATTATGACTTTGGAATGGGAAAATGGTATACACCATTTGGGGACTTGATCTGATTAAAAATTTATCAAATAATTGTTCTCGTGTGAGATTTTCCAACCCTATTCCATTACAGTCAAGGTCTTAGTATAAAAATGATTCAAAGTGAGAATGGGGACACAGTTCTGTAATATTAACTTTGCAGTACTCTCTGGTATGACTTACAAAACTATACGCAGATTTTCGCGCCAGAAGTAAGCTACTCTTTTTATAAGCCCATACAATTACTTCCGGAGGAGTATATAATGTGAAGGAGTCTGCCTTCAAATCTGATTAAGGGACTCTTATAATTTTAAGATTGTGGAGGCGCGGTGGCCTCATGTTTCGTGCGCTCAACTCCGAATCGAGTGGTCCGGGTTCGAGCCCCGGCCGGGAAATTGTGTTGCGTCCTTAGGCAAGACACTTTACTCTCACAGTTCCTCTCTTCACCCAGGTGTTTAAATGGGTACCGGCAATTTAATGCTGGGGGTAACCCTGCGATGGACTGGCATCCCATTCAGGGGGGAGTAGAAATACTCCTAGTCGCTTCATGCTACAGACACCGGAGTTAAGCACCGACCTGATGGACCACTAGGCTCGTAAACAGACTTTACCTTTACCAACAATTGTAAGATTAGTAATATTTTTCCTTATATTATTCATATTATGCATCATCGCATAAGACTCACAGTTGTATCGTCAAGAGCAAAATATATTTTTACAACAAATTAAGTTATTTATAAATGTGCTTTGCCTGGTATTTACTGTTCTCAAGACGAGGGCACCACTTGCGCAATCAATATTTTGGTTGTGCGAGTTCAAAGAGTTTCTTAAAAAAATGCTCCTACACCTCAGAAATGAAACAAAATCCCCATAAAGATTCTGTAAACGGCTATGGTTAAGATAATACGAGACAATTAAGGACGAACTTCGAATCTCACACAAGGAAACCGTTATGTCATAAAATTTTAACATCTCTATAAAATCAGTAAAAAAGACCGTGATTGTGTATGAAAACGTATACTTTAAATATCACGACGTCATGATTTCAATTTAATTCGATATGTACACGAGACGTAARATCAGTAAAATCAGTAAACTTTTGTAAGAGATAAATTTCTTAGAGCAACGTAACATAATTCACGGGTTTAAAGGCATCTTTGTTTTGAATATCAAATTATTTAGAAGTAGTGACGATGCGGTCTTGGTATGACTGGCCAGCGGAGAACCTTGATTCGTTTCTTAACAACAGAGGACTTCTTGGGTGCATTAAGGATGACGTCGCACCCCTCCTTTGCATTGTCTTGAACACAATCAACGTACCTCTTGATGTGGTCTTGAAGGTAAGCGAGTGGAGAGGATCCTTGAGCTAGAACCTAAAATAAGGGAAAGCGAGGATTACTAACTTGTAACTAGAAGACTAGGAAATATTTGATGACGCATTTTCATTTTCATTCTGTCTTTTTTTACGCGAAAGGTTTCACCTTGAATTCTCCTTCTGTTTGTTAAACATGTACATCTAGTAGGAAGCAAGTTTAGAGGAGTTGGTATTGCATCAAGGTAACAATCTCTAAAAGCGAATTAGTCCTTTCTGATCACCTTTTTTTTTGGCAATGTATCGAGAGCGTGAGGAGTCACAGTTAACTATTTGAGAAAAAAATAAGTCCACCATGAAATGTGGTGGGGTGGGAAGTTGCAAAAACCCGACCTTGATCAACTTTGGAAAGCTGAAGTTTGTTAACTGAAAATATCAGTGTAAAGTATTTTTTCCTTTACNCGGGGAGGATTGGAGACCGGACTCGAGATAAATCGAGCTTGCTTCTTGAGTGGTGTGATAACAAAAACATGAATAAAAATAAATAAATAAATAAAACTCACCTCCTTTTGCGCCAAGTCCGTGTTGTCCCAGGCAAATTTGTCGAAATGCCAAAGTGCATCTTCTCTGGTAAAGTTAGGGTAGAAGTGGAGTCCGGTGTCCACAATCAATCGCAAGGCCCGCCAAATCTAGTAGAGGGCAAAGTGTTAAAAACAGACTGAAAGAAGAATCATAAGGAAGACACGTGTGGCAGAAAACGGTTGTTTAGGTTGGAATCTGATTGGTTGGCGCGATATTTATATCAATCATAGACCAGAACGCGGCATTCGATAGAAAACTACTCTGTGCCATAACTACAGGCTGTAGTCCAGGTTAACTGGGTGATATGAAATGAGAGAATCTCTCGCTAGGTTTAAGTGGCCACAAAGAAAGAGATACAATGAAAAAGTGTTGGGGAGCAGTCCAAGTTGGTTAAGGGAGAGACGCTTCAGGATTTTATTTCCCCATTCACTTTCACTTCCATGCGGCTCTCTTTCTCATGGCTAGTGAAAACAGGACTTAACACTTCCACGTGCAGGGCTAGCGTACCTGCCATTTCAACATGCCAAACTGCTGCATGGGCTCATTGTCATATGTGTCTGTGTCTTCAGCTATAAGAGGATTCTCAGCATACAGTGCCCATCCCTCTGTGAAGGCTGTGTAATACGTCTGTGTGTCTAGCCAAGTCAGGGCATCATCACAGCCATCTTGAAAATGCTCAATAGTTCCTTGAACCTAAAAGATAATGAGATTAAATAAAATTTATCAAAAAATGGAGGATAAACGCTTCATATTACCATCTTCCTAGAGTAGGTGCCACGAGTGTATGGATTGACATCTCATATATAAGGGTAGGAAGGGTATCAAAAATTGAGTGATAAAAGAAAAAAATGTTACAGGTAATGTACAGGTAACTGAGAAGCTTTCTATGAACGATGACATCTTGCAACAGAAAAATTTAAATGAGTCAGCTATGTTTTCATAAAACGATGGAGGAAAGCACTGCGTTGAAGGAAAAGGGGCTGGAAGAGGGATTAACTCAATAGTTTTTTAGCAAAAGCTATCCGATCCTTGGAGCTAGAAAATCTTCTGCAAACATGTTTCCAAATTCAAAAGTTTTCTATGGATATTTCCAAATAATTCAAAAGAAACTTAATAGCAAGCTCTTATTTTCAGAATCTGATCAAACAAACTGAATTCCTATTTCAAACTGTCCTAGCTTTTCAAAGTTATGACAAACAAAATCCCTGCATTCCTAACCTGTGTATGATGGCCAGGCCTTGCCTCATGTGCATTCACACTCCATTCTGAGAACCTCGGACCCAGATTTTCCAAGAAAAATGGAATATTGTAGATAGCATTCCTAGAACATTGCGCATCACTATTTTCATAACTTTGTGCTCCACTGGATGGGTTGAGGTCAGGCTGCAGGTCCACAGGACAGTTGGGTGTGGTGTGTTTGGGACCAGTAAAGTAGAACATATCCACCGTTTTTGGATCCAGCATGCTCATCACCTAACGCAGGAAGTAAAATAATTCATTTCTTTGTCCTTTTCCCAGAGGTACACCTTTGTTCTCAATTTGGACCCTTGGACATGCATGTACAAGCTAGTACTTGCACCTTCACCAAAGCAGAAGGAAGGAGGTTGGTGGGTGGGTGGGTGAGTGGGTGGATGGATGGAAACCTCCTATCTCACTGGGTGCTACATGTTGAACCATCATACCCTTTATGGATAGTCAACTGTGGTTCTCATCTTTGATTCTAACCCATGTCAAATCCCTTCCCCCTTCCCAAAAATAAAGACATCTTATGAGTGATTAATGTTTACAAGGTACCAGATACAAGGATGCACTCAAAGATTCAGTCATTCAAGTTCCCTCCTTACATTAACATTTTCAAAATTTACTAACCCTTCTAGCTTCCTTAAACCACAACTGCATTGCAGCCCACCGTTTGGGGCAATGTTTTTCTGCACCAGCAAGATCGCTGCATCTTTTATGTGCCTCTTTGTTTGACTCATTTGCTGGGATTGGTGCATCATTAAAGAAGCTTTCTGTGGAGTTAAGCCTTTGTCTGAAGAGTTTCACAGCCAAATCACTATCATTTGTACCTGTCATTTCTTTGGCTATTTCTACCACCTGGAAAATAAAAAACATTTGCATTCAAGGAATGAAAAGGAAAAGTTTCAGGATACTATCAGATACCCGTACCAGACACATAGTGACTTCCTTTGTTTTTTTTAAGGTGGCGTTCTTTCAAAGAAAGATGCACCAAGTAACAGTGCACTAGTTCACTAACAAATGTTAAATTCAACCTCAAGAGTTCAAATGAAATAGTCCAGACAAAGAAAGCTGAGCCAAATGTACTAAATTTAACAAAATGTCACAAGTGACCCAAAAGTGACACTTGCAGATTGCTCTACATTGTCTTCTTCCATCTCTCATTTCTTTACAGTTGCCTTTTTTAAATTCAATAATCCCTACTTTTAAAGCTCAAAAATGTTAAAACAAATTTCCATTTAAAGATCTGAAGAATTGTACATACCAATGGATATAGTTCATCTAATTGCTTTTTTCCCAGTTCATGGACTTCAGATGGTTTCATATCATTAGTGGTGAAGTATGGCATGATTAGGGAGTATGCATGGGAACCATTCAGATTTTCACCAGTTGGCAAAGTTGGGTCTGTTGGCCTACTCTTATCTTCTTTGCCATCATACCACACATGACTAAGTGGCAGTCTTCCTAATCCACTGGAAACATTACTTGGGACACAGTAGTGAATGTGTTCATCTTCTAAATACCTGAGAATAAGATAAAAGATATTTGAAAACTAAAGATGATCTGGAATGTCTGCCTATCATATCAGATTTCACTCATGCCACTTTCACAAAATGTTTATAGTCAAGAAGCCCACACTGATGGAAGCTATATAAACTTTTAAGCTTAGTGTGTTAAGCAATCCCATAGTCTTCACAAGAAGCCCATTTACATTTAATGGTTGCATTTGTAACCAGTGTTGCTCAGGAACACAATGCAATGACCTCATCAGGGTTCAAAGCTACATCTATTGATCTGCAGGTAAGTGTAGTAACCACTAAATACCCTGCTCAAGGATATAGTTAAGTGAAGACAAGAAACAAAGGGAACCACTGAAAAATGGTAATTGTCCGATCACAATATTATGCTTTGCCATCAAAAATTTGTTATATTTGGGATAAATTAAATAAATCTTAGTTCAATTAGGTACACAATGCAGGCTACTATGGATGTTAAGTCTTTAAGTTATTTGCACACATCACTGGAGAGGGGGGATGGTGACGTAATGATAGCACTTTCCTTCCTAGTTCCATAGCCTATGTTTAAATCAGAAACCTGGCATCATATCTTCTCTAAGTTTGCATGTTACTGTCTCTCATGCTTGCTCGAAGACTTGCCACTTATTTCTCACTCCACAAAAATTATCACTGCAAACTTCATACTCAGAAACAGTGGACAAAAAGCTGCCCTGCTGATGAGCCACTATGGAAATCCAACTTAACTTTAATCTAGAATTTTTATGTACCTGCAGGGTTCTCTTAAATTATTCATACAAACCCCTACAAGACAACTCAAGCAAGCATGCAGGTAAATTACCGTATTAGCTGATGCAAGGGTTTTCCAAGGTAAGTCAACAGATATTCCTTCACTGTTTCATTAATAGTCTTTCCATGCACTTCCTTCCAGGCTTGATCAACTTTCTCTGGTATTTAGTTGTAAAAATCAGGATGAAAGGTTGGTTCAACAAACCACTCCTTCCAAATACCTAAGAAGGCAAGCATTTTTGTAAGCATGGATGGGTCTTGCAGTTTACAATATGTCACAATTTCCATCAGAGAGTTAGGTTATAAGAAAAAACTTGTTTTACTCCTTTGCACCTTTAAAAACCATATTGAAGGGAAAAGGGTCTTTAACTACCTGCACAGGTGAAATAAAAGGTTAAAAATGGATTTAGAACTTTCAATTGTAATAATTGTTTATGGCTTTATTTGAACTTCAATCCAATTTTTTTCAAAATTTAAATGAAGGACAAATAAAAATGCAATGTCATACTTCAACAAACCCTAACAGGTCTTCAATAAGTGTGGAAAATATCGAAAAAGTATTTTTCCGACTTTTTCCCACTAAGATTTGTTCATTCTCAATCAAGAGTAAATATCAGCTACCAGGTATTAATAACTAAATTATACATTATCAGGAAATTTGCTAGTTGTAATGAGAGCTACCTATATAATCACTACTGCCAGGTGTAATGGTAAGGAGCATACACTGCATATTTAAACATTTTAGACTTTTCAATGTTTGAAGAACTTTAGCCAAGATTTCTGTATAAACTCAAACACTTCATTATGCATACAGTCCTTTCACAAATGCAAACATTGAAAAACAATTGACTACCTTTGGTAAAAAGGTTTTGTTTTAGAATTACATGGGGTTAAAGAGAAACCTTGAAGAATTTTAGACAATAACCTGAAACTAGCATTAGCATTATTCTAATTTTCTTTGGACAGCACCTTTGTTATTATCATTCTTTTTACCCGAGGTGTTTTATAGCCGAACTTTTCCATTAAAACAATTATTAAATTACAAAGAGAAAATGTTTTGTGGCAGTTGTTCATTTGGCCTGAAGCCCTATGAGTACGTCTTATCATTCATCACCGCAACTTAATCCCCCCCCCGTAACAATCTAAATGTCGTTAATGGTGTGTGAGCTTACAGGGAGTCTGCTAGAACAGTGCGTGATTGTTTGCAAGCGCACTGATGATCCGAGGTTGTTCTTAAAAACAAGGATTATCATAGCAAGCGATGCTTAATCAACCCCCACGCATACCAAACGGCTTAACTGAACATGCCATATCTGACCTGACGCCAAATTCAAACAATCTTAGAAGAACATATGTTTAGGATCAAGCATTATCAATCTCATCAAGATAGTTCATTTCACGAAAGCGGCTATCAAAATTAAAAGCAAGTTTTGACCTTTGATTTACGATCCATTCAATTCTCGCGTGACAAATCGACGTGAGGTCTTTAGCTTTTAATTTCATGTTCGTCTTACTAGTGAAAACTTGAATCACCATTCTTTTTGTAACTCTTTGTTTTCAGGACTTGTCAATTGTTGTTTTTTGCCATGACGTGCCTTCGTGACCTACTAACAAGGGGACACATTAAAAAAAAAAAATTGCGAGTCATGTAACATCGAGATGGATTTAGTATTACTAAGACAACTTTGGAAAGTCGATAATTCAAGCTTTGTTGCAACCTCTCAAATCAAACGAATTGTGCGATCGACCATTTTATTACAGCTAAGTTAAACCAATTGTTTACATTACTCGGTATAATTTCTCTGTGTGCAAATGCAAATTTAACCTTTTGATGATCAGCCAAGCGAACACGGCTGTGAAAGAAAAGTTTATATTAGGGGCTGAGAGAGTATTAAGATTTCAACTCAGAGCGAAACAGTGCAAAACTGATTAGTTATATTGACGATTTTTGGCAATATTGCGAAACGCGTGAGTCGTTTCGTGATATTAATGAAACAAGAATTTCACACGCAAACATGAAATTTGATACTGATGTGCAAATTAACTGTTTGTCAAATGGAAAGCTTGCTTGTCAATAAATTTCTTACCTGTCTCATTGTAGAGGGAAACGTTCAAATATTTCCTTTTCAGTGAATCTGTCCCGGCGACGCATTCCTCCCTACTACGAACCATTCCCTTTTTAACTCCCATTTTCATGTTCTCGATATACTGCAAAATTCCTCTCTGGTGCGTCTCCAGCAGAGATCTGATAACTTTCACGTCTGTCTCGTTGGTGGGTCTGTGATAGATTATGGCGTTGTAGAAGTCGTACCCGTGGAAGCAGATAGGCTGCCAGCAGAATAAATTCGGTCCCATCATCCAATCCCCGGCGTAATAGTTCACATCATACGGTTGACCGAACGTGTGTTGAAGATAGTGCTTCACTTGTGCCAAGGATTTCCTTTCTCGTGGCTTCAAAGCGTTCATTTTGACCCGCTCAGTTTTGCGCGTAATTTCGTTTAGCAAAGCCCGAGATACATCAGTGCGATTTTTGATGACAGATGGGGTCGGATCGTACGCCTCATAGTCTCTTCTGATTCTCTCACATCCTTCTAACGATTCCATGTTTATGTCGGGATTGAACGGAATACTAAATGGATGCAACTCAAAGTATGTTGATTTCACTCTCTTCAAAAGTTCATTGAGGCCAACTCTCTGAGCTTCCGCTGAAACTTCGCATCGCCCAGGCATTTGCTGAGAAGGCTGCTTGGTTGGAGGAACATGTACCTCTGTAGCCTGCGAAGCAAGCCCTGGGGGAGAGGAGGGGGGATTGGGAAGCAAGCCCTGGAGGACTGTTCCTTCTTCACTGCATGCCTTGTTCTTAAAATTGGTTGGAGGAACATGTACCTTTGTTCCTTCTACACTGCATGCCTCGTTCTTAAAATGTGCCAATGTGAGTAGAACGACTCCGATAATGATCAGTAAAACTCCCACAGCGATGAGCCCGAAAATTACAATCTTCCCTCCAGAGGGCCAAGATCTTTCATGCTGCTGCTGGTACCCTACTTTGAAGCCCACTTCTTCCATAACCATGCCGTTGCTTTCTTCTGCCTTCTCAGCCATAGTTTGTGCTTGTGCGCCAAGAGCTAATTGAACAAGCAATAGACAATCGAAAGGTCAACAGTTCCTAATGATTGACAGACGCGGCCGAGGTGGCTTGGGGCAACAGGGGTCAGCACATCCGCTTCTATAGTTAAATATTCACGTACAGAGTAAACTGGAAGATAAAAGCGAATAGAGATTAGATAAGAGTGAATTCACCATAAACACCGCTAGCCCTAAATAAGCTTTTAAAGTCCAAAAGCCAGCCTATTTTAAGCTCAATACAAATTTATTTCAGACGCGTGCAGCTGACTTTCACTCTACGACCTCAAGATGGATTGTCCTCTGCCAATCGAGTGGGACATGTAAATATCGTCCTTTAATATCCCGCCTCAAAAATACAAGGCAGATATTTGACGTATCTGGAAAAGGGTCATTCATTCCATGAAGAAATACAGAGACCATACAAGATGCTTCGAGAGAACTCCGATATCAATGTGCCTTGGATGTTTATGATAGGAAAAGTTTTCGCCGTTCTTGTTTTAGAATTTTTTTTTTTTTAATTTTTTCTTTCTCTTCATGATACGTTTTTGGATACATCAATATTTTCGAAGTGTAGAACATGTCTTTGCCACAACAAAAAAATAAGTTATGATTATAACAAAGAAAACTAAGCAGCATATGTTATCGGCATTTTGACCCGTCACCTCAATGAAAACTTTCATCCGAAAAGCTGCAGTCCTCAAACAATTCAACAACCTCCGATGCCAGATTGTGGTGAGGTACATTCCGAATGGGATGATTTACAAGGAAAACAGTGATTCCATACCAATTGAGAATTTTAAGAGTATTTTTATTGATGTTCCTTCTTTTAATAAAGTAAGGCGAAAAAAGCCACATCTCCACCAACCGAATGTTCC